GTGGTCTGCCTGGAAATAGCAGCCAGGCGTCCTTTTCTTCTCCCAGCTGGGAGGTTTCATATAGACAGGCTTGAACCGTGCTCCTCGCTTGGCTGGGATTGCGGAGCTGAAACACTGCAGGTGGAGATGTTTGCAGGATTTTACCCTCAGTATTTAGGACACCCTAAACCAAGGTACAGATTTGGTCAGGTTCTGCGGTGAACTGGCCCGGTCGGCGGGTTTAGAACCATAGGGTGGGCTTGGCGCTAGAGAAGCGTTAACGTGAACTAAAGCTTGCTCAGGGAGATGCATGGAGTGGGTAGCACGGAGTGCCGCTGCCTGTGGCCACGGTTCTCCTCTGGCTTTAGAATGTCGCATGCCGGTCTGTGTAAATTCTCGTAAGTGTACATGAACAATTGCAGCTGATTATTGCACATTTGGTATCCACCAAAATTCCTTCACCTGTGCTGTGTGGCTGAAAACCGAAACAAAGAACGAGGTGATTTTCTGCCTGGTTTGTCTGGTGGGACGAGCAGTGCAGGAGCAGCCTGTGCCTGATCTTTACTTCTCGGTGTCTTTCTAGGGAGATGCTTTAGGAACTAATCGCGTGAGCACGCCGGAGGCACGGCAGGCGGGTGAAGCTAACGTTGTTAAACTATGTCCCAGGCAGCAAACCGAATTCTTGGGGAAAGTTGAGTGACAGAATCCAAGAAGCTGAGTTTAAGTCGAGGTTCGTGATCGTAACATCCTGTTCAAACAATCACCAGGAAATTCGGCATCCTGGGATGCCGGTTTGGCTGCAGTATGTGAGCGTCACCAGCCCTGGTATGGCCTGTGCTGGCTGGCTTGGTCCTTTGGGAAGGATTTACTCAAAAGAGAAGGTTGCAGGGTAGGTTTGGGATATCTGGGTGAGGTTTGGATTAGTCCCAGCAGTGCCAGGTGGAGGATGGTCCCCGGAGCCCCCAGGGTGCCCTGCCTGGTGCCTGACATCCTCACCCCTGAGTACCTCCTGCCAGGCCATTCTCATGCGGAATGTGTCACTGATTGACTCCTTAGAGCTGAGGAGGAGTTGGACAGCAGTTCCAGGGATGTGCAGGTATTCGGAGTTGCAGTCATGTGCTTGTTCACCACAAATACCTGAGTAAAAGCAGCAGCAGCAGAAAGCAATGGGGACACACATATGGAAGTAGGGTATTTAAAATGGTGCATTCCAAACAGCTGGAGGATCAGTGTGCCCTCCGTTGGATGTGTTGTTCAGCTTCATTGGGCTGGTTCAGCCTGGAGAAGAGAAAGCTCTGGGGAGACCTTAGAGCAGCTCCTGTGCCTAAAGGGGGTACAAGAAAACTGGAGAGGGGCTTTGGACAAGGGCCTGTAGGGACAGGCCAAGGGGAATGGCTTTAACCTGCCAGAGGGGAGACTGAGATGAGCTCTTAGGCAGAAGCTCTTCCCTGTGAGGGTGCTGAGGCGCTGGCACAGGGTGCCCAGAGAAGCTGTGGCTGCCCCATCCCTGGCAGTGTTCGAGGCCAGGTTGGACACAGGGGTTTTGAGTTTCTTGCCCTTTCTTCTCCCCCATCACACTCCACCATTTGCTCCAGGGCAAGCATTGCCACAGGAGCAAATTATTGCAAGCTGTGTGCAAAGGTTGGGGTGGAGCTGGCAGCACCATTGCTGGTGTGCTCCTGCCTTGTGACCACGGCAAACCTTTCCCCTGCCGGCATGGAGGGGGCTCTGCAGGCAGCCGCCCCCCAGGAGCTGTATCTCGCCCCATCCCAGTCTATACACTCTGGAGGGCGGCTTGGGGCGGCCTCGGCACTGCAGATTAGGCAGGAGCAGGCGTATTCTGTTTTCTAGGAAAAAGGGGATTTTGTGGCCAGCTTTGTTAGGGCCATTGAAGACTTTCCTTTGTGTGTCTTTGCGTTTGAAGTTCGCAGGCTGGTGGCTGCAGACTCGCTGGATGTTCTGCTTACACAGATGACATTTTTAACCTTAGAGGTTTGTGCCATGTGGTCCAGGCCAGCCCACAGGAAGAGCCAGAAACTTCATGTAGGAGGGGTAACGCTTCCTACCTCTGTGTAAACAGCAGTTCCCCCCAGATGGGAAAAGCCATCCCAGCTGTAGGGGAGGCAGGGGCCATATTCCCGCATGTGGAAGCAGGATGAGGATTTCCCACAGGCCTTGCTATCAGTCCTGCTGCTGCTCTGCTGGGTAGCACAGCTCTCCCTGGCGCAGGAGGGATGCTGAGGGCAGGAATGCGTCTGCAGGGAGCAGCAGTGAGGAAAGGCTTGTCACTGGGAGCTGTGATGGAGCTGATGGAGAGGAAGGTGGCTGGTGTGGGGCTCAGGCCACAGAGCTGCTCATGGAAGATGAGGGGACGTCCCATGGGATGTGTTCCAACGGGCTCTAGCACTGAAGAATGCCAGAAGATGATTGTTCCCGCAGGCTGGGAAAGAGCCGCTGTGCTGTGTGTTCACTGCCATGGGGAGCCCAGAGCCTCAACTCAGCATTGCCACTGGCTTCAGCGAAAGGAAAAGCTCCTCCCGCTCCCTGGGTCACTGGGGCAGCTCACAACTGTGATGACTGCAGTGCTCAGCGGGTGTTGCCGGTCCCAACTCAGCTGTGATGGTGACAAGAGGATGGCTTTGGTGACCAGCCCCGTGGATTGAAAGGCTGGCTGAGGGTGGCCAGCCTGTGGTGACAATGGCTCTTGCTGAACGACTTTTTTTTGCAGAAACATTGGACATTGGACACCCCTGTCCATGTCCTGCTGCTCATCAGTGCTGGAGAGCCTGGGGGCTGATGGGGAGGGGGGCAGGTTGCTCTGGTCCCTGCCTGGCAGAGGCTGCCACCACCAGCTCTTGTTAAGGGCACTGGGAATGCCTGTCAGGAGCCCACATACAAAATCCTTTTTAGAGGCACCTTTTTTCCCACCAGATGACACAGACTTTGACCATTAAGAAATGAACTCACAGCATCAATCTGTGGTCATGAGTAGCTGAAACAGGGAAAAGGGTCGGGATTTGTCTCAGTCTGCCCGGACCTGCTTTGTTTGGTACCAGGCCCTTTTCACAACCAGTGTGTGCAGTCCTGCTCTCCTGAATTAGATGATAACTGAGGGGAAGAGAGAGAAAGAGGCGTTTCAGTGGCGGGAGATTGATGGCAGGTCAGCGGGGCCAGCAGAGGCAGGAAGGTTTCCGTAGAAAGGGAGAGGAGCTGCAGATGCTTGGAGCGAGGGCTAATTCCACCCTAACTGTGCCCTGGCAACTCTGAGGAGCACAGCCTGCAAACGCATTGTGCTGTCCAGGTTTGGAAAACCAAACAGGAGTGAAATCTATTTGCTCTGGTTTAATCCCCTCGACGGAGTTGCAAATTAGCTTCAGGCTTCCATGGGGTGTGTTTATGTGAGCCGTAACCTCCAATGCTCCCCAAGGCGTACCCAGGCCACATTTCTCAGCTTCTCTCGCAGGGTTATTTTTGCACGTGCAGCCACGTTTTCGTGCTGGGATGCTGCAGGGATGGAGGGGTGGGGTGGGGGGAACCTGCTGTACAGGCCTGGGGCTGGCCCCAGGCGCATCCCGCAGGTTTCGGGTACTTTGGCCAACTCACTCCTTTTCCCTCCTGACATTGAGAGCTTATTTCCGTCACACCAGGACAATCATATTCCTTTTCTTACTGTTAGATGGTTTTCTGCTGGATCTAGAAGTAATGAGCGAGCAGAGAAGATTATACCCCACGTGGAGCCCTGCTGCTTTGTCTTGGGCAGAGAGGTGCAGGCCTTTCCCCGTCGCCAGCACAGCCCTCCAAAGGTCTTGCTTCCGCACGGAAAAGCGGAAGAACCACCAGAAACTGACTGTGGAACCGGTGAGGCTTTGTCTGCCTGCTCCACGCTGCAAGGGGCACAGGCCCTGAAAACCTGGTGGGTAGAGGGGTAGCTTGGGCTCTGCCTGCTCTGGGTGTCCCCCCCATGGGAGCTCGAGGGGTGAGCCCCGGGGTAAGCTGGCCACTGGGGGTGACACCGGGTGCCGGTGGGTACCAGGGGATGAGGAACTCCGGGAGCCTGTGAGACACTGGGGCGTGTGGAGCGCCGGGATGCTGAGCCCCGGGGACGGGATGCGGGATCCGGGGGGGTGACGTGGGGTACCGGACAATGCGGGGTCCGGGCCGTGCGGAGCAGCGGGGCAATGCAGGGGCGCCAGGGATGCGGAGTCCGGGGGCTGATGCTGAGCCCCGGGGGTGCGGACCCGTGGGGCGGGGTCCCGGCGATGCGGTGCGGGCCCCGCGCTCCCCTCCCCCGCCGTGCGGCGCGGCGGGCGTGGAGAGGAGGAGGAGGAGGAGGAGGAGGGGCTGCCCAGCACGGGCAGGGTTAAAGCGCCATGTAACCGGAGCGCGGGGCTGTCGGGGGCCGGCCGGAGCGCGAGAGGCGGTGAGCGGCGGCGCGGCCCCGCTGGACGGCGCGTCCCGCCGCGGCGCAGGTGAGAGCGGGGACTGGGGGGAACCGGGCCGGAGCCGCGGCGCATCCTCGTGGGCGGCTTTGTTGTACGCGGTGGTGGCGGCGGGGGACAATGGGGCGGGCGGGGTCGCGGCACCGGGGCACCGGAGGGCGGCGGCGGGAGCGCGCCCCGGGCCCGGCCGACCGCGCGGCCCCCCCCTCCGTGCTCCCGGGGTCTCGCCCCTCCGGTCCGGGGCCACCGGGCGGAGCGGCCCCGCCGCCACTTGTTGCCGGCGCTCGGTCCCGGGGCGGTGTTGGGGTCGGTACGGCCCCAGCCCCGGTCCCGGCTCCCGCCCGCTCCCCCGGCGCTCGTCGCAACTTTCGGGAGTTTCCCGCGGAGGCGCCGCTGTCGCGTATCCCGGGGGCGCGTCCCGGGGCTGTCACGGCCGGGCTGGGGGTACTCCCGGCGCCCCGGGACGGGCACGGGGAGCGGGGCGGGGGCAGAGCCCGGAGCCGCAGGGGGAGCACAGCGGAGCCTCGGGTCCCTTCAGTGAAGAGGCAAGCGGGGCTGCGGGGCGGGGAGGGCTCGGGGGGGTGTTCCCCGGGCCGGGGCTCGGTTTGGGCTTCCGGGGACCGGGATGCGGCGGCACCGCTGCCGGAGCCGAGCACCTTTTGTTTTCGGTTCTGGGGTCGAGGATCTGTCAGCGCATCTTCTCGCTTCTCTGTTCGCAGGAAAGCGGCTCCCGCCGGCCACTCGGACGTGAAGCGGCGCCTCCCCGGGGCGGAGCGGAGGGGGCGGCCGGGGCCCGGGCTCAGCTGCTGAGGCACCGGCCCAGCGGCAGGTACCGGCCCGGGGGAGCTCTACCGGCATCATCCTCCTCAGCCGGGTGCAGGGAGAGGCAAGGGAGGGGCATCAAGGAAGAGGTCTGAGCTCCAGCCTGGGGCACGAGTCCCTGGAGCCGGGAGAGGAGCAGCGGGTGGGAGCAGGTCCTGGGGCTGCCCCGGTCCCCGGGAAAAGGGGACACAGAAGGAGCTGAAACGTGCTGCCCCTGCAGCAGGACTTGTGTTAACTGCCTCTTAACTGCTTCCAGTTTCCTAATTTTTAGTGAAATGAGGGGGAATGAGCCAAGGGGGCACCCTGGGGAAGATGGGGGGAGGCTGAGCCCCCACTCTGCAGAGGTACTTTATCGCTCTCTACAACTACCTGAAAGGAGGATGGAGCCAGGAAAGGGGGCACCCTGGGGAAGATGGGGGGAGGCTGAGCCCCCACTCTGCAGAGGTACTTTATCGCTCTCCGACTACCTGAAAGGAGGATGGAGCCAGGAAAGGGGGCACCCTGGGGAAGATGGGGGGGAGGCTGAGCCCCCACTCTGCAGAGGTACTTTATCACTCTCTAAGACTACCTGAAAGGAGGATGGAGCCAGGAGTCTCTCAGGTATGAGACTAGAGGAAATGGCCTCAAGCTGCACCAAGGGAGGTTCATACTGGAGATAGGAACAATTCCTTCCCCAGAGGTGCTCGGGCGTTGAAACAGGCTGCCCAGGCCAGTGTTGCAGTTACCATCTCTGGAAGTGTTCCCACACCATGTAGATGAGGCCCTCAGTGCCATGGGTTAGTGGTGGCCTTGGCAATGCTGGGGAACGGCTGGTTGTGATGATCTTAAAGGTCTTTTCGAATCTGGTTGATTCTAGGATTCTCCAGAGCCAGGCAGGGGACATGGGGACAGCGAGGTGTCATTGTCATCACTGTGTCCTCTTGTGCAGGGGAAGGATGCAGCAGTAACGGCTCTGGACAGGACCTGGCACGGCTGAGACCCTCCCGGCCGGCGCGGAGCCCCCAGTGCCCCCAGCCCTGCCCGCAGCACCCCCGGCCCGGCCGCTCCACGCCGGGCACGTCCCGGGGCAGGGGCTCGGGGGAGCCGGCGTGGCCCCTGGCAGCGCGACGAGGCCGAGATGAGCATGGTAAAGAGCCTAGAGCGGCTGGAGCAGCGGCTGGCTGTGATGGTGGCTGCCCAGGAGACTCCTCAGGCCTGGTCTTCACGGGGAGAGGAGGGGCCGGTTTGTTTTTTGTTTCTTTCCTTTCATCCGAGCTCGGCTGCTGAGCCCGGGGGTGGCCGCGCAGCGCTGGGGCAGGGGGGCAGGAGAGGAAACAGGGGGAAATGGAGGGAAGTGCGGGAGCGCGGGAGAGCCGGAGAGGGGCCAGGCACAGGAAACGGGCAGGGGAGGGGAGAGCCTGCCCTTCTTAATGAGCCAAAATGGGCTCCCTTTCTTGCTGAGCTGCCAGCCCAGCAGCTCTTTTCTTCCCAGGATTAGAGGGAAATGCTCGGTTTGGGGAGAGTTAAAGGGCATTTGTGTGGGGGACAGCCCTGAGCCAGCCCGGAGGGAGCAGCCCTGGCCATTGGGGTCCTTTATTTCTTTTTGTTATTCAAACAGGGCCTGGGTGATGGCTGCCATCCCAGCCATCCCGTAAAACTTCCAGCCTTTTGATATGCATGCCCCTGTCTGGAGGCAAAGTCCTGCGGTCTCCCTGCCAGCTCCCCACCTACCCGGAACAGCACCTGATAAGGGCCAGGCTGTTTTCTCAAGAAGGAAAATGAAAGTGGGCCCAGCCCCGGGCTGAGGAACAGCCCTGGGTCAGGGGCAGCAGGGTTCAGGGCAACGGGGTCCTGAGGCATGGTCTGCGGGGCAGAATGTGATGCCTGGTAGGTGAGAGCAGCCCCCCTGCCCGCACTGGGGCGCGGGCTGCTCCGCAGGCTGGCTCTCGAAGCGGTTAATGCTGTGGCATGGTCCTTTAACCAGTTTGGCAAACCTTAAAGAAACTGGTATTGCAAAACTAGGGCGGGATCCGGAGTCAGCGGGTTCATTGTCTCGGTGGGGTACCGCTGCAGGGCACATCCCGGGCACCAGGCAGAGCCGGGCCGCCGCTAGCACCGGTCTCTTGGGGAGCTCAGAGCATCCGAGCTGGAATCCTGCACGGTTCGAGTCTTGGTGGGTTCCCGTAGGAAGCGTGCGGCTGCAGCGCTCGCCTGTGTGTGTGCAGTGCATTGAGCAGTGCAGACGCTGCCGTGCTGGTTTTCTCCTCCCGTGAGACACAACATGTGAGGGGAGCGCTCTGGTTCTTATTATTTTCGCAATGCCCTGTGCACATGTTGGTGTGCGAGGGGAGGCGAGGACAAAGAGCTGAGCCTCCCTCCCGAGCGTGGTGAGGCTTGTAGCGATGGCGGCTCCAGGGGGTCAGTGGGAAGGACAGCATGGGCTTGGGAATGCAGCTTCCTTCCTTGGTGCTAACGCAGCATCAAGAAGAGAAGGGGATGGGAGTTGCAGTCCCGCTGTCCCGACGTAGGTGCTTGTGAGAGCGAGACTTTAGCTTTGCAGTTTGGGTCTGGTGTGATGTGATGTTCCCTTTCCTGCTTGCTGTCTGAGGATGGTGATGGGATGTCCTCAAGTGATCTGGGGTGGTGCAGCTGGAGAAGCGCACGGTGTGATGCTCCCGTGGGTGCACTGCTTGCTTTAGAATTGGCAGAAAGAGCTCCCGGAGCATGCGGCAAAGCTGAGCTGGGCACAGCTGGTGCTCGGTCCTGGCTGCGTGCCTTGGGGAGACCTGGCTGCTGCGTCACCAGCGTCACCAGTGCAGGGCTGGTGGGGATGTATCACTGCATTGCCAGCCAGGGCACACCGGGCAGCCCCAGGCTGAGAAAGGAAAAAGCCATTTTGAGGTGCAAGTTTGAATGTCCTGGGTGGGCTCTGGCTCTGTCTGGGGCTGCCACTCAAAGGACCAGATGCAAAGTTCCCATGAAGGGCCTGGTGGGGTTTGAGGATGCAGATGTTTGCAGGGCTGGGAGGTGGCCTTGCCTGCTCCTGTCCTGCATGGATCTTGCCAGGCTCATGCTGCCCCATCTCCTATCCTCAGCCTCTCCTCTGGGTCCTGCTCACGCTAAGGGAGCAGCACATCCTCTCGCACCTCGCTGTGTGGGTTCCCAAGGGAGATTCTCTGTATTTTGGTGGGATTGTTCATGGCAGCACTGCCGCTGGTGAGGGTTGCTGCTGCACCGCAGCCTGGAGAAGGGAGCAGAGCCCGGAGGGGCTGACCTGCCTGTGCTGCACCGCATCGGGAGCATCTGGGGCCAGGACCGGCTGCCCAAGCCAGGGCAGCCCGGCGAGTCCAGGCAGCTCCCAGGAATTGTTCACTGGCTCTGGAGCAGATGTGCTGCAGCCGTGGGATTTCTGCACACAGCTGTGGGGCTCGGAGCGCTTTTACACTCCTGCTGGTGCCGTTCCTCTTGTCCCTTTGTTGGGCAGATGTGTGTGGGGCGCAGGCAGGACGTGCACCGGGGGCTCTGGCTATGGAGGTGGGTGCTGGTCACCTGCCTTCCTTCATGTCTGGGTGTTAGCAGGGTTTTAAGGCTGCCTTTGGCATCTGGAACATCAGACCCCGACTGTTCTTTGTTTGCCAGAGGTGCTGACAGGCGATCTCGAAGCAGATCTCAATTGTTAGGGAAGCAGTTGGAGGCGATGCTGAGTGAGAGCGGTGGGAGGGGGCCAGGGCTGGAGCCTGGGGTCTCTCTGGGGCTGGGGGGGATTGGTTGTGTCTGGTTCCAAACAGGGCTTTGGATGGGTTAAGCCTGGCTTGCTCCTTGCTCGCTGAGCTACGTGTGCCTGCAGTGCCGGTGCTGGCGGAGGGGCAAGTTGCAGCACAGACCCATAGCCCAGCAATGAGGCAGCTTCGTTAGCGCGGTCCCGGGTGCCTCTGGGAGAGCCTGGGAGCTTCCACTTCCGAAAACAGGATCCAGGGAGGGCAGAGGCCCCTGGGTGCCGGTGAGGTGCCGGGGACACGTGGCCGGGCTCTGCCTGCGCTGCAGCAGCCCCCGGTGCACGGGACACCGGCACAAGCGGGCGCTGCCGGTGCCGTGGGTGCAGAGCCCTGCCCCGGGTGAGGCCAGGGAAGGGGCAGGAGGAGTTTTCTCCCTTTGGGGGAGTTCAGGTCGCTGCAGGCGCCAGGACTTTGCCCCCCATGGCGAGCTCTGCTGTGTCCTGAGCGCCCGCCTGCTGCGGGGTGCAGGGCACCACGGGGGTGGTGGATGTGGCTCGTATGCTGGAGCCCGTGGACCCTCAGAGCCCCCGCGTAGCTCCCAGGGCCGCTGCGGATATGGCGCCAGTGAGACCCCTGCACAAAGGGCAGAAGTTGTGGCTGGATTGCAGTGCTTGCAGCAGGGGCTCTGCCTGCCCCGGGGCTTTCTGCATTCTCCATTTCCTTTCTGCTCTGGCTTCCACAGGCGACCATGAAGAAGGAGAGCAGCCACGGCCAGGAGGAGGCAGACTGCAGGGCAGAGCTGATCCTCCTCAACGGGGCCTGTACCAGTCCCACCAGTAACGCCCCCCCCATCATACGGGAGACAAACAGGAAGCCCAGCACTCCAGGTGAGTCTCGACGTGCCCAGGGACACACAGGGATGCGTGAAACCAGGGATGTCCCAGGCACTATCCCGGGGTTGCAGCACAGCGTCCAGGTTCCCTCCATGACTCCGCCGGGTCTTTTCTTCCCGGCTGTGCATCCACGAGTCCAGGCTGCAGCAACAGCAGTGGTTGTGGAAGGGTGCCACGCTGGGGTGCTGGCTCTGCCCCTTGATGGTTGGAGCCCTTGGAGTAAGGGAGTCCTGGGGATGCTCAGGTCATGGTCCCCACATCCCACCTCTTGTATTCATAAGGTCCTGCTTTTAAAGTGGCGACAAGCCCTGAATAGCAGGAGTAAGGTTTGCTTATGGCTCAGGAGCAAAAAGGCGCATAAGAAGGTCCCTCCCTTCCAGCCTGGGTGCAGGTGGGGGATCTGGGACTGCTGCTCTTGGCAGCCCCGCGATGGGCAGCCTCGGGGATGCTGCTGCTTGTCTTCTGCTCTCGGCCTCATTTCTCCAGGGGGAGGCTTTGGTCTCTTCAAGTCCCGGTGTGCTGCCCGGAGCAGTGGGGGTTTGGGGTGTGCTGGGCATGGCTGGGGAGGCTCATGGAGCCTGAGGCTGCTCTTGTCCCTGTGCAGATGCTGCAGGCCTGGGGCTGCCATCGCTGGAGAGCAACAAGAAGGTGAGCAAGGGAGACCCGGCCAAGGAGGAGGAGGGCCTGTCCTGGCCGCTGGCTCTGGCTGAGGTGCAGGAGGCAAGTGCTCAGCAGGACCCTGGCGCCAGGGCTCTGTGTGGGGACCCTCGCCCGTTCCCCCCCGGGCTACGGGAGCAGCCCAATGGCAGATGTGATATTCATTCACAAGCAGAATATTTGTTTGCATTGTTCAGTTCCTGCTGTGCTTTATGCCCCAGCAGCAGTGTGGTGGGGGTGATGCAGCGATGCCCACGACGGGTTGCAGCAATGTAATCGCTGTTATGCTGATATTGTCTTCAGTTGATGGACAGAAGCATCTCACCCCCTCCTCAGGGTGTCCTGCTTTTGCCTGCTTTGGGGCTGGGTCCCAGTTTTGCGTTGAGTAGGTTGAAAAACCCCCAGGGGATTTTCACTTGCAAAATCTCTTCTTGTGCTGAAGCTCTCTTGTGCTGCATGCAAGAAAGCCCCTTGGGTTGTGCTGTTTGGAAACTGCAGCTCCTGAGCCGCAGGGAAAGGGCTGCCCTGGTGCCTCTGCAGGGCTGGGGCAGGAGGGAGGTGGAGGGAGGATACAGTCAAGGATGCACATGATGGCTGGAAACAAAGGTGATGCCATCAGCTGCTGGTGGGATGCTCTCCCAGTGCCAGGGGCTGCAGCAGTGAGTGCTCCTGAGCACCTTATCATGCCATCAGCAGAGATGCTGTGAAGTGCAGGGGCTCAGCCCAAGGGGCTTCCCGCAGCTGCCTGCGCTCCTCTCGCATTCCCCATCCATCCCCAGGGCGCTGGTGCTGCCGATGCCAGCCCCAAGGGGCACGGGCTGGGGGAAGGCATCTGTGCCACATCCACACCACGTCCTCTGCTCTGGTTGCAGATGCGGCCCCGGGGCAGCGCGGGCTGGGAGAGCAGCCTCCGGCAGAAGCCCCCCGTGCGCCTCATCTTCCAGGCAGGGCAGACCCGCCAGGAGATGAAGATCAAGGAAACCAACAGTGTGGAGCCCCCCCGGGACCTGCCCACCCCACTGCGGGTGAGGGTGCATGGGGCTGGGGCTGCCCTGGGGCTCCCCTGGGATCGGGAGACCCACACTGCTGCCGTGCCCTGCCCAAGGCTTCAGGCACGCTCTGTGCCTCAGTTTCCCCTGTGCAGCGCGGGGGGTGTGGGCTGCTGCTTGCCACTGCTGTGAGCCGGGTGCTTTGGGGTGAACTGGGGAGAGGAAAAGGGAAGGGAGCAAGCGCTGCACTGTTTTCTGTGTGTCTTGAGAGCAGAAACAGAGCACTTCTCCTTCAGGTGTCCCAGTCCTGGGCCTTTCCCTCCATTCCTGGTGCCCCCCTTTCACAAGTTCCCCCTCTCTGATCCGTGGCTGGGGGTGACGTGGGGCAGGTTTCTGCTCCCGTTCCCCTCTCTCTGCGCTCACACTCTCCTGCTCCACCATGCAGAGCTCCAAGCGGCGCCAGTCCACACCTATCTCCATCCCCACCATCGACCTCACGGAGGAGGACTCCCGGGACTCATCCCAGAGCAGCAGCACGCTCTCTGGCAGCAGCTCCCAGGAGGGCCAGAACGGCTCCACTGAGCTGGGGACTGAGGAGACCGAGAGCAGGGACGCGGGGATGGCACTGGAGTACCAGGTACGGATGGGTCCCGCTCTGCTCCTGCACCGGGGATGCTGCAGCTTCTCCCGCCTCCCTTCCCCTGCCTGCCCCTCCCTGTGTGCCCAGGCTGTGATGATGCCCTGGGCTCTGCTCCGGGGCTGCAGGTGGGTGCTGTGCAGGGACCGGCCCTGCCCGTGCTGCCTGTGGGGCTGGAAAAGGCTCCGAGGGCCCCGGAGACGCGCGCATGGCACACGCCGTGCCCCGCCGAGACACGCAGTTGCATGTGCAGGAAACGTTTCTGGGGGGGATGCTGGGTTGGAGCGGAGCTGCTGGAGCTGCAGAGAGTGATTCAGTGCCTGCAGGCAGCGGGGCAGGGCCCCGGCCTTGCAGGAATTGGGCAACTGCATCTTGCTGCATAGCTGGGTGCCTGACTGGGGAATAAGGCCGGGAAGGAGGGCTCTGCAGGTCAAGGTGACTGCTCCTGCGTGGGGAGCATGGTCCTGCCATGGTCCCTGCCAGGCTGCCTGATGGAGGCCCTTGGCACGGTCATGCCAAAATTCCCAGCTCTCCCTTTTGTTGTCTCTGTTTTGCCCTGCCCCATTTCCTGCTCTCCCCTGTGGGTGCCCTGTCCCCGGGGTGCAGCCGGATGGGCTGAGCCGTGAGCCCCATGAAGGGGCTGCCCTGTGCCAAGGAGCAACCTCAGAGCAAAGCCCTCCCTGCAGCAGCAGGATACGTGCATCCCTGTGTGCTTCCCGCATCCCTTGGCCTGGGCAGCGGCGTGCAGTGAGCTGGGTTCTCCCAGACAAACGCGGCTGTGATGGGCAATGGGACTGGGAGGAGTGGGGTGCTGGTGCTGGTGCTGGTACCGGTGCCGAGGAGGCTGTGCAGGACGCAGCACGCACTGCCCTGTGCCTGGCACTGCCAATGCTCCTGCAAGACCTTCCTGGGTGCAGGGCTGGCTCTGGTGCTGCCGGGGTGTGCTCTGCTCTTCTCCTGAGGCAGGGGATGCAGCTCCTGTGCATCCTGTGCAGAGGCTCGCAGGTGACCGGTGATGGGCACATGCGGTGGAGCAGCAGCGTGGGGTGCTCTGTGGCCATGTTCGGGGCTCTCTGCCACAGCTGCTTGGACAAAGCAGGGGGCTCAGTGTGGCTGATCCGTGTTGTCCTCTTGCCTTCAGGACGGGAAGGATTTTGGGATCGGGGAGCTCGTCTGGGGAAAGATCAAGGGTTTCTCCTGGTGGCCGGCGATCGTCGTCTCCTACAGAGCCACGGCCAAGCGCCCGGCGGCCTCGGGCATGCGCTGGGTGCAGTGGTTCGGGGATGGGAAGTTCTCTGAGGTGAGCTCCTGTCTGTGCCTGCCTTCACCCGGGCTGGAGCCCTCGTCCCTGCCCAGCTCTGCTGCCTGCCCTGCTCCCGGGGCTGCCTCGGCTCTGTGTGCGCCCGGCTGCAGCCTCCCTTGGCAGGGGCCCCGGTGGCTCCAGTGACAGCAGCCTGGGCACCACAGGCTGGTGACAGGACCCAGCAATGGGAACGTCCCCGGGGTGCAGGAGGGAGGGAAGCGCCGTGCCCGCAGAGGTGCGGTGCCGGCAGCGGCTGCGCGCAGCTCGTTCCATGTGTGCAGCGCTGCCGCTGCTCATCCCCTCTGCAGCTGATGCTGAGCATCCTCCCATGGCCCCAGAGCGCAGACAAAGCCCTGGGCTGTGGTGTGAGCTGTGCTGGGCGTGCAGTGCCGCAGTGCTGGGTGTGCGGCACGGGCTGCATGGTGCCGCAGGGACGTGCCCGTGCCCGGTGTAAGCTCTTGTTGCTGTCCCGCAGGTGTCTGCAGACAAGCTGATGGGGCTCGTGGCCTTTAGGCAGCATTTCAATCTGTCCACGTTCAACAAGCTGGTCTCCTACCGCCGAGCCGTGTACCATGCACTGGAGGTAACCGCAGCAGAGCTGGGGCCGGGGGAAGGAAGGTGCCCAGTGAAGCAGCTGGGGCTGGGCTGTCCCTGCTCCCATCAGATGGGGCTGATGGAGGCAGCCGGCTCATGGCAGGGAGGGCAGGCACAGGAGGAGGGTGCCTGGGAGCATTCCCAGCACTGGAATCCAACAGCTGCTGTTGTGCCGAGCCCTGTGCACGTGTGTGTGATGGGGAGAGGGCTGGGGACATGGCCCTGCCAGGCACGTGGGCCGTGCAGCTGCAGCCTGGCTGCTCCATGCACTGGGACCAGCCCCTATCCCATGGTGTCCCGTGGTGTCCTCTGCTGTCGCATGGTATTCCGTGGTGTCCCATGATGTCCCGTGGTGTCCTCTGCTGTCCCATGGTATTCCATGGTGTCCCATGATGTCCCGTGGTGTCCTCTGCTGTCCCACGGTGTCCCATGGTGTCCCGTGGTGTCCTCTGCTGTCCCACGGTGTCCCATGGTGTCCTGTGGTGTCCCGTGGTGTTCTCTGCTGTCCCATGGTATTCCATGGTGTCCCATGATGTCCCGTGGTGTCCTCTGCTGTCCCACGGTGTCCCATGGTGTCCTGTGGTGTCCCGTGGTGTTCTCTGCTGTCCCATGGTATTCCATGGTGTCCCATGATGTCCCGTGGTGTCCTCTGCTGTCGCATGGTATTCCATGGCGTCCCACGGTGTCCCGTGGTGTCCCACAAGGTCCCTCCTCTCGGCAGGTTGCCCGGAGCCGGTCAGGAAAGACGTTTTCCACAGCCCCTGGGGAGTCCCTGGAGGAGCAGCTGAAGCCCATGATTGACTGGGCACTCACTGGCTTCAAACCCCTGGGCTTCAAGGGACTGCGGCCGCCCAAAGCCTCAGGTGAGGAGGTGCCGTGGGCCGGGCACGGGGATGGCGCTGGCATTGCCGAGCCTGCTGGCTGGGTCCCCAGGTGACCCTGGGGCTCCTCAGTGTGGTCCCTCCCAGCAGCATTGCCAGAAGCCAGAGGAAAGCACCTCAAAGCCATCGCTCCTGGAAGTCAAAGACCAGGATGAGCCTCGAGCCGCGCTGGGGAGCTGCGGTGCTGTCGCCCGGTGCCCTGGGATGCTCCCAGGCCTGGAGGCTTGTCCCCAAGGAGCCACCTTTCCCTTGCAGAGAACGGGGTCCTGAGGAACGGGACGGAGGAGGTGCTGTCCCTCGAGCAGTGTCCCCCCACCAAGAGGCTGAAGACCAACCTCTGCACCGGCGGCAAGGAGCAGCGCGTGGAGGAGGAGCAAACCCGAGGTGCGCAGCGGGGAGAGCTGGGGGCACCGTGCGCCCTGTGGCGCTGGGGTACCCCTGCGAAAGGGCTCGGCTCTTCCCCTGGGATGTGAGCTTGGCTTCCAAAAGCAGGAGCTTTTATGGGCCTTACAAGGCACCAGCAAACCCAGCTGCGAGACACAGGCTGGGCTCCGTTGGTGGCTTAGCTTGGAAATGACCTTAGAGCTCTAGTTCTGGTGTGTCCGGCAGCGAAGGACATGGGGTTTGCACAGGAATTCCTGATACGCCTTTGCTGCACAATGCCCAGCGGAGCGGCAGCGGTGTTAAGAAAGAAGGCATCTGTATGTAGGGGGTTTGTTCGTTGCTTAAGGGCTCATAAAGACATGCATTTTGTATTTCCTAAAGAGCAAATGGTGTCGGAAGTTACGAACAACAGCGGGAGCCTCGAAGGTAACGGATGGTCCTCCCTTGGGAAAGGTGTGGGGTGATGGGCAAAGATCCTGGGTCCCTCTTTAGGGCTCCAAGTGGGAAGGGGGAACGTGCCATTGCTGCACGGTGCTGGGGTGCCCGGTGCCGATCCCCCCTGTGGGGCCTGCTCCTGGGGGAGCCTCGGCCACCTCCAGACCTGTGCTTGTCTGCGGCACAGGGCAGGGGTTCTGCTCCCCGGCCCAGGCTCCCTGCCCTGCCCCGGGCTCAGCAGAGCTCTGTCCATCCCTGTCCCGCAGAGAGCTGCTTGTCCTGCGGGAGGAGAAACCCGGCCACCTTCCACCCGCTGTTCGAGGGGGGGCTCTGCCAGACCTGCAGGGTAAGTGCTGGCAGGACGGGTGCAGGATCCAGCCCTGCCGCACGGCGCGGGAGGGGGTGACCCTGCCAAGTCCTGGCTCTGCTGTGTCCACCATGGGGCTGTCCCATGCCGTGTCTCCACTCGAAGCACCGAGGACGGGCATCCTCAAGCTCTCGCTGTGCATCAGAGATGGAGCAACTCCAGTCTCTCTTCACGCTCTGATGATGGATCTTGATCCCTTTGTACTTCTCCCGGTTCTCCTTTCGCTAGGATAGATTCCTGGAGCTCTTCTACATGTACGACGAGGACGGTTACCAGTCCTACTGCACCGTGTGCTGCGAGGGCAAGGAGCTGCTGCTCTGCAGCAATGCTGGCTGCTACAGGTGGGTCCTGGCTGTTCCCTGGGCTGAGCTCCCAGCGCTGCTCCTGGAAACGCAGGGAAGCGGGCTCGTGTGTGAGCCTGGGCAAGGGGCTGGTGCTGGCTGCGGTGCAGCACGTCCCGGCGCAGCCTCCCCAGCCCTGCTGAGCCAGGCTTCACCTGAATAACAACCCCCGGGAGGCTTCGTGTCAGCATCCCTGGAACCTGGACAAACCTCCTGCAAAACGTGGGGGGGGCTCCAGAGCTTGGCAGGGGAGACCCCAGGAGAGGCTGGGCTGAGCCGGAGGGACCCTGGAGGTGATGGGCACAAGCTGCTCTGGTTTGGGCAGGTGCTTCTGCGTGGAGTGCCTGGAGGTGCTGGTGGGCCGAGGGACGTCGGCCAAGGCGAAAGAGCAGGAGCCCTGGAACTGCTACATGTGCCAGCCCCAGAGGAGCTATGGGGTGCTGCAGCGCCGGCAGGACTGGAACACGCGCCTGCAGGACTTCTTCACCAGTGACAAGGGGCAGGAATATGTAAGGGCTGCGGCCATGGGAGCCCAGAGCGCTGGGAATGGTGGAGAGGCTCGGAATTCCTCATCCCTCTGCCTTGGCCCCACTCCTCCACCTTCACCAAGGGTGGTGCTGGGCTCTCGGCCATGCAGATGCTCCCCTGAAGGCGGAGGTGATGCTGGTATTGCAGCACTGAGGCTTCATTGCTGGCTTCGTTGCAGGCTGCACCCAAAATCTATCCGATGATCCCACCGGCGAAGAGGAGACCCATTCGAGTGCTCTCTTTGTTCGCTGGCATAGCCACAGGTGAGCGCTGGAAGAGCAGCACCGCACATGGGGGGGATCAGCTTCATGGCCTCAAACCCGTCTCTGAAGCCTTGGTGGAGAGAAGGAGGAGCAGGGCAGGGGGATCCCCGCCAGGAGGGCAGGGGCTCCCATTCCTGCTGGATAGGGCTGTGGAGGAGGGAGGGCATGGGAATTGCTCAGAGGTTCCTGCTGCGCCGGGTGCTGGTTTCGCTGGGAAGCGAGGGCTGTGGGAGCGCTGGCAGCACTGGTTTGACTCCGCTCTGGAATTGTGCTTCCCGGGTTTCCCAAGCCTGCTGCAGGAATGGGTCACAAAAGTGGTTTGCTGTCCCACGAGCCAGCCCTGTGTGACTGCCCCCTCCTAGGACACGCGGGAACGGCCGCGTCGAGCGTCTCTGCTGACGAAGGAGACCGCGAGACCAAAGAGAGCAGTGCAGCCTCAGACATCTGTCCCTTGGCAGGGTACCTGGTGCTGAAGGACTTGGGCATCCAAGTGGAGAAGTACATCGCCTCGGAGATCTGCGAAGACCCCATTGCCGTGGGCACCATGCGGCACGAGGGCAACATCACCTACGTGCACGATGTCAGGAACATAACCAAGAGAAACGTGAGCTGGGCAACGTGGCACCATGGCCGCGGGGGCTCACCCCAGCACCCCTGGGACAGGATTTCCCCCTGCCCTGTCCAGGAGGAGGGAGCCACTTCCCTGGCGTCTCCTAACGGAATCTGTCCACACTAGATCGAGGAGTGGGGTCCTTTTGACCTGGTGATCGGTGGGAGCCCCTGCAATGACATCTCCCTTGTCAACCCCACCAGGAAGGGGCTCTATGGTAAGGCTGCTTTGCCTCTGCAGGGCTGGGCTTCCCTGGGGACGTTCCTGGGGTTCGGAGCCACCTTAAAGCGCAGGGAAGAGGTTCAGCCCCTGTCTGCCTTGGTGGTGGCTCCCCTGCGAGCTGCAGCCCTTGGGGTGGCACCTGCTGAGCACAGGCTGTGGCCGTGCTGGTGGGGAGGAGGCAGCCAGGGCCCCCAGACCCGTGCCCCCCACGCCGCAGCAGATCCCAGCCTGCAGCTCCTTTCTCCCTTGCAGAAGGGACCGGGAGGCTGTTCTTTGAGTTCTACCACCTGCTCAACTACGCCCGCCCCAAGGCGGGAGAGGAGCGTCCCTTCTTCTGGATGTTTGAGAACGTGGTGGCCATGAGGGTCAATGACAAGCGGGACATCTCTCGGTTCCTGGAGGTAGGGATTGTGGCTGCAGGAAGGGCATCTGAGCCGGAGACACCTCCCGTGCCCTGCAGGCTGTGCTGAGCCGTGTGGGGCTGGCTCTGGTTTCCTGTGGCCCCTGCCTGATGTGCACCCCAGGAATCAAGCTTTCATCCTTGGCTCTGGGTCTCCTGGGGCTTGCAGCAGGATGACCCCAGCACTGGCTCCCTGGAGCAGGCTCTTGCTTCGCAGAAAGATCTGCTCAGGGCAGTGCCTGCTCTCTTATTTCTAGGGAGAGGGAGGTCAGGGCCTGGAGAGGACTTTTAGCTGGGCTGGCCATGGCTGTGGTGTGGGAGCCCATGGGGCCAACCAGCCCGTGCTCTGGTGTGGAGCAGGAGTCTGGGGGGCTACCTCCTTAGGAGGACTTGGTGTTCACTGCTGGTGCAGTGCAGTGGAGTGCGGCTCCATGCAGGAGCGGGCTGAGCCCAAGCCTCCTCTAACCTTGATTTTTGCATGTCTTTTGCAGTGTAACCCAGTTATGATCGATGCTATCAAGATATCAGCTGCCCACCGAGCGCGCTATTTCTGGGGTAACCTTCCGGGGATGAACAGGTAATGAACCCTTCGCTGTCCGTTTGACTCTCGCTGCAGCTTTGCTCTGTTTCATGGTGCTTGTGTGGCTCTTCCCTCCTTGGCCCTGAGCCCAGCTCCTGGGAGCTGAAGAGCTGCAGTTCCCGTATGGTGCAGTTCCCTGCAGTGATGTGCACATGATAATGTGCTTGTTAACGAGCAGGGATGAGACCGGGAAAAGCAGCAGCATCCTCTGCCCCGGACCTGGAGCCTGCGGAGGGAGAAGCGATGGGGTCAGCGCAGGATGCTGTGTGGTGTGTTTAGCTTGGGGTTATACATGATACACACATCCAGCAGCCTTTGTTTAAGATGCAGGCTAATGTGGGGGTGCTGTAGGGCAGCCCCATGCCCAGTGAGTGCTGTGTGAGGTTTGCAGGGGCAGGGGATGAACCCCAGCAGCCTCCTTGGCCAGGGCTGCTCGGTCCAGTGTGGTGCCTTAGGGAAGCTCCTCCAGGCTTTGTGCACGCCTCGGCAGCACCCTGAATTGATGGTAAAACACAGCAGGAGGACTTGGAGTAGAGTAGAATCCTACTGCTACCAGTCCTGTGCACCAGATACTCCTAGCAACAAAACCTGGAGATTTCACCAGGGAATGCCTCAGCCAAGAAAGAGATGGGGTTTAAATACTCCAGATTGTTTGTATTTAAATTGCCAGTATTTCTTGGAGTTCAAACTAATTAAAGCTGAGCGAGAGGCATGCAGGAATTTGAAAGTGAAATAGCGATTACCGAGGCTTTGTCATGTGAAATGGCACTTGGAGAACCTTCCTCTGATGGGAGCCCGGGATGAGCTGTCCCGGGGCGATGCTTGTGGAGGTGCCTTGCTGAGCAGAGTGGGCAGAGGTGTGAGTTCCTGGCTCCGTGTGGCTCCTGGGACAGCGTTGTACTGACCTCAGCCACGGCAGGGGCTGCGTGAGGACATGGCCATGGAGCTGGGAGGAGGAATTTTCCATTGTCTTTAGCGTTTGCTTTTCTCTCGCCGTGCTCGGTGCTGAGTCCTGGCTGGAGATTGCTGGTGGCTCTTGGGTTTGTTTTGCCTTTTATTTCTCCTAATCCAGCTTTAAAATGGAGCCAGTGGGGGGGGGGGTCCCAACCCCTGCCAGCATCTCCCTCCAACTGGGAGCTCTGCTGGGGGGTGTTCCCAGGGGCATCAGCCGCTGGGTGCACTGGTGGTGGTGGGCTGGGGCCCTGGGGCAGCTCCTGGACAGCTGTGCTTCTGTGCCCAGGCAGATGTGCTTGCACGGCTACACGAGGGGGGGGGGTTGGTTTGTCTGTGGCCATGGGAGCGGGGCTGCAGGTGTGGGCTCTGCTCCGCTGCCCCTGGGCGAGTGCCTCTGGCTCCGGGCAGAGCAGGAAAGACTGCATCACCTTTGCCAGATGCTTTGGGTGGAAGCAATGCACATTCGCTTGCTGCCACTGGGAAAGGAAATCAGAGCTGGTGGGGAGCACTGCCACGCTGCGGAGGAGCTTCTGCTGAGCAAGACTAAAACCCAGGCCGGGGCTCGAGGGATGCAGGATGGACGCAGATGGGACAGAGATGCTGTGTCCTGGCTGCATCTGATGGGCACCGGTGCAGTCACCAAAGCTCACCCACCCTCCTCTGCTCTGCTCCACAGGATCTTCGTCTTCCCCCTCCACTACACCGACGTCTCCAACATGGGCCGCGGTGCTCGGCAGAAGCTGCTGCGGTCGTGGAGCGTCCCCGTCATCCAGCACCTCTTCTCCCCGCTCAAGGATTACTTCGCCTGCGAATAGCCAGCCGAGCAGCCCTCGTCTCTCTGGTAAAGATGCACAGCTCGGCTGGAGGCGGGAGAGGGACGGGCCCATCCCTGCTCTTCCCTCCTGCAGGGAGGCAGCCTGGCCCCGCAGGGAGAGCCGAGGAAATGTCTTTAACCAAAGAACCTGGCAGGGTAACTTTTCTTGAAAGGGACTGATGGCAGTGATAGAACACCCGGACAAAAGAGCTTTAATTGCCCAGCGCAGGAAGCTCTGTGCATGGCTGAGCCCATGGGAAGTCTCCTCCAGAGCATTAAATACCCCGGTTTAGCCTAGAGCTGAAAGTCACAACTTGCTGAGCAGTGAGCACGGAGGCAGCTGCCGAGGTGCTGCGGGCAGATGTGAACTGCAGCGAGTTACTGCTTCTGACCAAACAAAACCTCTCCTGAAGCAACTGCCAAAGCCAGGGGGGGCTGTGGCAGGAGGTGTAAGGGACCCTGCTCAGGTACATACACTGAACACGCAGGATACACACACCAAATCGGTTTTATTCTTTTTTTTGATAAACTTTTGTGTTGTTTAATGTCTATTGCTGCTTTACGGCATTACATATGAATGTGGAGATTCCTAGACCTGAATGTAGCTGAAACTGAACTGTGAGGTGATAGAATTACTTTTCTAGCTAGAACTAAAGGAATACTGTTTTATACGTTTGGCTGTAGTTTACAAATACTCACTACTTCCTTTTTTAAAGCATCTACAACCTTTTCCTTCCATTTTAAAAATCCTGCTGAGTGCTTTGAAAGCTTACACAGGAATTGGAGCAGGGAGGATTTGAGCTCCAGCGTTCATAAAGGAAAATGTTCTCTGAGCATCCATTATCCCCAGTGAATGTGGTGCACGAGCAGGAAGGGCAGTGCAGGGGTCAGGATGGTCCTCAAGCTGCTGCCCCCACGTGTTGTGAAGCCGAGCAGTATTGGGAGCGTGGTGGCTGTGATGTAGGAGCTTTCTGGCAGGGAAGATCCCCCCGGACCCCAGTGGGGCTGCAGGTTCCCGGAGCACAGCACCGGTCTCACCCGTGCTGATCCCGCTCCATGGGCAGCAAGGTGGGAAAGCTGCTGTGGCTGGGGGCTGCGTGCGTCCCCCCATTGCGGGCGCTGGTGTTGGGGCAGGTCCTGGGTCCGCAGGCAGGGCTCTGCTCTACCTCTCTCCTTCCCTGCTCGCCCATCTCCCCATGCACAGGGATGCTTTTGTGCTTCTGTGCCCAGCCTGGGGCTGAACCAGGAGCTCCTGCAGCCGCTGCTGTGCTCACTTTATTGCCCTCCTGCTCCCTGACTTTGCCGAGGTGATTTCCTGCTGTCTGTGAAGTCCCAGGGAGCCCATCCCACCTGTGCCAGGTTTTCCGTAGCCCCCTTAATTCCAATGCACATTTCAATGCACTGAAACAACCCGTGGTGTCCCCCATTGTCCCTCTGTCCTCCCCTACCTCTGCTGTTCACTACACCCTGTTCGCAGCATCCTTTGGTGCCTTCTCAGAGCGAATCATGTCCAAACCACGGGCCAGGCTGCTTCATGAGGTGTCATACAGCATCAGTGGGGAATGAGAGCTTCTCTCCCAGCTCCTTCTACCTCTCTGACACACGGGGGCCCTCCTCACCCCTCTCATGGGTGGTGGAGGATGACAGCCTCCTTGGAGGAGGGAGCCTCTCACTTTCCACTCTTCTGTGCCGCTTTCAACCCTGGGCTTTGAGGACCACCTTCTCTGGGGCTCCTGCCCAAGGCCGCACTTGGGAATGGGCAGGAAGGGAAGCCTGGGGAGTTGAAAGGCTTTTTCACTTGGTCCTGCCCAGAGGTCACTCTTTGAAGTCTTCCCAGTGGGCGTTGTTCTTGGTGATGTGTTTGAGCTCAGGTGATGTGTTTGAGCTTTCCTTTGTCACCAGCCCCTGGCTGGGAAGATGATGGGGTGGATGCTGGGGAAGCCCCAGCATTGCAATCACCAGCTTTGAACCCATCTGCATCCTCTGGCACCGAGCCTGGACCCGTGACACAACACTAACTCCTGTGCCCAGCCCCAGCCAGAGCCCGATGTGGAGCCAAAGGGTCACAGCCACCCTCTGCTTTGGGACCCTCTGATGGGTTTTTATGTTTCCAAACGGGGCTGGCTCGTAACCTCCACTCCCCAGCGTCTCTGATTTCATGCTCCAGGTCTCACATCCCTTCCTTATCTGATCAAAAGAAAAATAAATAGATGAGGGAAAAAAAAAGGACTCGGGGAATTTACACAAAGATAAAAGAGGGATGAGAATTGTCTTGGCATTAAGCTTACTTGATAAGAATTGTAGTAGACAAGTCTTCCTTGAAACGGTTTTCCCTGTAAGAGCTGCCTTTTATTATGTGTTTATAAGATGTTGTAAGGAGAGGTAGATTCAGAAATGCCTTTTTAACACTTTTGTAAAGGTTTCTAACTCTCCCTGGTGCTATTTTTTTAGGTTAAGGATTGTTGATGAAATTTGTGCGGGTTTTTATACAATCTTTTGCAAATAAAAGAAGTGCATCGTTTTGCTGAGCACATTTTGCGTCGCTCTTTGTACCGAGGAGCGGGAGAGCTCAGACCTGCGTGCCCACAAGGCACCAACAGCTTTGGGGTGGGGGAGAAAAGGGGATCCGCATCAACCGTTTATTGCCGTCTAATTACAGACCGGTGTTTCTGTAGGACCGGGCAGCCCTTCACTGGCACGTTTGTGTGTGGAGATCAAGGGGCTTCACGCAGGGACGGGCGCCCCTTGCCTGCCGCCCACGGAGGCGCTGGGTGGGATGTGGGAACCCGATGGGTGACATCGGGGCACGGACGGGTCGGGACCGGAGCGCGCGTCCTCGGACCGGAGCCGTGGGAGACCCCACGGGCACGCGGCACCTGTGGGCGGGGCTAGCGGCACAGCCAATCGCAGGCGAGTCCGTGGGCGGGATGGGCGGAGCCTCGCCCTAGAGACGCGGCGGGTGCCCCCGCCCCTTAGCAACCGCCCTGGCCCGGCTCCGTCCCGCGCCGGTGAGCGGCGCTCGCGGCGACGGCCGTGACGCAAGCGTGACGCAAGCGCGTAGCGTGCGAGTGACGTGGTCCCGGGCAGGCGGGCGGGGCCGGTTTGAACGCGCAGGAGACGGGGCGAGAGCGGGGCAGGTAACGGGCCGGGCCCCGGCGGGGGGCGGCTGCGGGCCCGGCCCGGGATGGCGGCGGGTCCCGGACCGGGTCCGGGCTCGGGGAGCGGCCGGTGGCGGCGAGCCGGGCCCGGCGGGCGGTGAGGAGAGCGGCGCGAGGCCTGCAGGGCCCGGCCGCGCCCCTCCGCTGGTGCGGGGAACCGGGGGCCCGGCGGCGGAGCCAGCGCCCGGCGCGGCTGTGGCCGAAGGGGGGGCGGCGGCGGGCGGGTGGGTGCGGGCCGTGCCCCGCCCGGGGCGGGGGCGTGCGGCGCGGTCGGCCCTGCCCGGCGGCAGCTGCACCGGGGGCTCGGCGGCGAGCGAGCGGCTCCGCTTTGTGCTGGCGGGGCTGGGTGGGACCGGCCGCTCGGTGCTGCGCCTTGGGGAGAGCGATAACCGGGGCAGAGCAGGAAGCGTCGGTGCCGCGCCCGGTGAGCGGGATGGACACCGGCTCGTTCAGCGCTGCCACGGGAGTGTTAATGGGTCTTCAGAAAGCCCCAACCACGAGGTCACCCCAGCTGTTTGCAGCCGCCTCACGGCGTTTCCTGTGCTGCTGGGTCAGGCCTGTCTCGACAGGAGCCGTGGGAACGTTTGGTGATAACGTCTGTGGTACTAACGCCGCTGGTTGTGCCTTCCAGAAAATGGCAGTGAATGTGTATTCTACTTCAGTGACCATCGAGAACTTGAGTCGACATGACATGCTGGCCTGGATCAATGAGTCTCTGCAGCTGACGCTGACAAAGATCGAACAGCTCTGCTCAGGTGAGGGCTCAGCGCCGGGGCTGCCGCCTCGGAGGTGCTCCCCGGGTCTGCAGGGGTTCCACCGTGCTGTGTGACTGTGCTGGCGCTCAGTAGCCATGCCAGTGGCTTCATTCCCGGTGTGAACAGATCCACGGTCACTGGTACAGTCTAGTTGTGGTTAGGCCATTATTGAAATGGCTGTTAATAATGTAACCATAATGAGAAGGTGTATTCTTCTGACTCACTGCAGTTTAGATGAAATAAGAAGGAATGGGGGTTAACATGAAAAAAGACCCTTAGGAGAGGGTCTTTTCCAGTGAGAAATGAAGTATTTAGTCTGAATGGATCAAGTAGGTCTTACAAGTGTAGTAACTAGAGTAAATAAAGGGGATTTCTTATGGAAAAGAACCACTGGGAGGCTGGGCAGAGGGAGTGTTGTGAGGAAGGGATTCTGGTGACTCAGGTTCACCTTCTGGACTTTATGACTCCTCTTGGTGAAGGAGTGTGTCAGTCGGTGTCACCTCAGCTTGCTTTGGGTTGAGCTGACTTAGCACAGCTGGACCTCGGTAGAGTCGTCAGCAGAAAGGGGGAAGTAATTGTGGTACAGAAATGAAGTCAAGTGTCATCACAGGGAGGAGCGTGTGTGGGAGGAGGCTTGTAGGAACGAACACGAGATAATGGTCTGTGGAGTAAGAGCTGGAAGAAAATAAGGCTAGAAATGCAGCCTTGGTAAAAGATGGTGATTTGGGTAACTGCAGCAGGTAGGCAAAAGGCACTTGGTGCAGAGTGGAAGTGCAGCTCTTAGGGCGAGTTTGAGATACGGTGTTGCTCATGGAATGATAGATGGGGAATAAAAGGAGGAAGGAGTAAATTTAAAGTCAGTTTGGGACTGTCAGTGTTGGATGTGGGCGAGTGTGTGGAAGAAACGTTCACAGAGATTACAGAGAAGCAGGGGACTTACAACAGACATCTGACAGGTATTTGTAGTGGCTTTTTTGTAGTGAGGTGATGGAGGAAACCTGTAAGAGTGAAGGCACTAGAGCTCCACAAGCACATAAGTAAGGGAAGTGATATGCATTCTCTTATTGTCTGCTTTTGTATGGGCGGGTTAAAACCCTGTTTTGTGCAGTGTTGATTTATACAGCTGGGAAATTGTGCTTAGGGTTGGTGTGAGCCTCGCATGCTGCGAGTGCTCTGTCTTGCTGTGAGGCTGTGCAGAATTTCAGCTCACCTGTTTTCGGGACAA